CGAAGTTTACAGTGTGATGTGGGGGTGTGGTGTGGTGTCCTCATGAGCATACTCGAGATGGGCACGCTCGTCGTGATTCTATCACAGCGCCTTACATGTTCCGCCTACCACACCAATAAAGTTGTGCATGTTCCGCCTTCTACGTACTAGTGTCTCAACTGTACAGCCCCCTGCGTAACAATGTCGTACATGTTCCGCTTGCTGCGTAATAATGTTGTGCACGTTCCCGTCTTCTACGTACTAATGCCACCCATGGTCTCGTTTGGTACGTAAATATGTCATCCAACTCAACACCACTCATGGCGACTATGCAACACGCAAAGTTCAATGCGGCGTGTCCTCAGGGTTGCTCACCTCTGAGTATAAGACAACAGGGTGCTCGCCTGTACTCTCAGCATCTAAATAACCAAACTGTCTATTCTGTCGACTGTGATGGTGCCATGCAACACGCTTGTGAGGCTGCGGTTGCTCACCGACTTCAAAGTGCCTACGCAAAGTTCAATACGCCGTGTCCTCCAGGTTGCTCGCCATTGAGTTAGAGTCAACAGGGTGCTCGCCTGTACTCTAAGCATATTGATATTGAAAGATTTCAGGTCTCAGGCCAGATTTTACAGCAAGAAGCCATCTTTGATTTATGGAAGTCATCAGAGTTAGCTCCCTCCCGAGAGCTAAGTCATCAGAGTTAGCTCACTCCCGAGAGCTAATCAAGTTGCTTGAATTACTCCCAAGAGTTGAGTTATTACTTAACCGACTTCTGAGAGCAGATTTAGTTTCTCAACCGATTCCCGAAAGTGGATTAAGCCTGTCAACCACAACATGTTAATAATAGCTGCGGTTCTATGTGAGTCACAACCTATGCAGAAAGGTATCATGTGATCAGCGTGATATTTAGTTGCAGAGAAGTTGAAATGGAAAAGCATCTAAGTGTTAAAGTGTTTCGCATAAGGTTTCTCATACTGACCATATGAGGTTTTACCCTGGCCAGCCCAAGCGGCTAACACTAGCACAAACACCTTAGGTATAAAACCAAAGGTGATGTCAGAAATAAATACATACATTTGCACTTTATTTAAAGTCTACTACATTGCACTTTAACAGATATACTTACCACACACAACCAGCACTCGTGTAACTAGACCGCACGATCCACTCCTGGGTAGAGTTCTCTGAACCTTCTACACTGTGATCACCACTCATGGGCGGGCTTCACTGAACCTTCCGCGCTAGGCAATAGTGTTGGCCTTGTAATGTTTGATCGCTTTCAAATCATTTGTAGCAGTATGTTATGTGTGACGCACAGCGCCTTATACTTGCGTGTATGTTAATATTATATGCATTACCGCGTAGTTTTTTTGCTACGATGAGCCATGCCTTTGCATAATTGATGTTCTGTGTATGTCTACACGCGGTGTGTCAGCTAGTGAGTATGTGATATGTACGTTGTGTCTCTGCTATAGTAACTTAATCAAATTATATGTATTCTGTTTACTAGTATAATAATATTTGTATGTGTTGCTCTGTTTGATTGAGAATCTACCGAGAGTGTATGTATATGCAAATATCGTATATACTGGATAATATACAGTCTATCTAAACACCTGTTCTTGACATGCGCATACCTGTAATTCACCCCCGCAACCTTCTGTGCTGTCGGTTATATTTACATACACCAATACATAATACTCTTGTATGTGAACATAAACACGCGCTTGCGTAATATCGAGGCAGCTCTTACATTAAATTATCTGGCCGTGCAATCGACTGTATCCCGTGTATTCCTGAAGATGTAATCAACTGGTAGTTCGCTTGTATCACCAACAAAAGCATCCATTTCCGTATTTGATTGTCGCCCCGCTTATCCTCGGCGATGCGCAACACCATCTCGTCGTTGTAATCCGCTTCCAGTCTCGACAAATCCTCTAGCGGTAACTCCCCAGCGTAGTATCCCAGTACCAATCCTTCTTTCGGCCACGGCAGTTTCTCCCGCGGCAGCACCAAATCCCATTAGCAAAGGACCGATCCTCAGCAGTTTCTCCCGCGGCAGCACCAAATCCCATTAGCAAAGGACCGATCCCCAGCAGTTTCTCCCGCGGCAGCACCAAATCCCATTAGCAAAGGACCGATCCCTAGCAGTTTCTCCCGCGGCAGCACCAAAGTCTCTTGGGAAAACAGTGTTTCGTTATCAAGCCATAGCACGTACTCTTATGGTAACGCCACCGCTCGGCGGTCAATTGTCGTCACATCGTCAAGGCACATCACGTTGTCGTCTAACTTTAGATGTATCACCTTATAAAAACGTCTTGGTCACCTTTGTGGACAAAGTACCGTAGACGGAGATTTAGGACCGGACCAGAGGACTGGACCTAAGGAAAACTCTTACGGTAACGCCACCGCTCGGCGGTCAATTGTCGACCCATCGTCAAGCCACATCACGTTGTCGTCCAACTTTAGATGTTTCACCTCATAAAAACGTCCTGGTCACCTTTGTGGGCAAAGTACCGTAGACGGAGATTTAGGACCGGACCAGAGGACTGGACCTAAGGGAAATAATTTAGGACCGAACCAGAGGTTCGGGCCTCAGAGGATTTTATTGAGGAACGAACCCGAGGACCGGACTAGATAGTAGAATATATAGTTTAGTGAGAGAGAATGATGACTCATCGGATGTCATCATTATTTAGTAACTAGGAGACCAAAATCGTAGATACGAAGATTTTCACAATCTGCCGTTGTTAGAGAAAATCTCGTCCCACATCGGAACGTGATTGATAAATACAGCAGACGCGCCATTCACAGCGGCACTTCTGACTGAGTTCACATATTTCAGACTTAACACTCTTTATTAGGCGTTACTTGGTTTTGACCACAATTTTAAGTGACCGAGCTACTGTATTTATTATACTACGTTCTTCAAAGGTTATATCAACTAAGAAGCAACTTAGTTTACTTTTATTTATTTTACAACGATGACGGGACCCGAGACTAGACCATTGCCTACGGTGGGTGAGCAAGCCTGTGACCAGTTGCTGAAACGGTTGCTTGGAACGATTCGCCATTTGACCGAGCTATACGATAAGGTGGATACAGCACGTGCCAAGCAACCTGCACCCGAAGACGACGAGAAGGTAGGAATCCATTTGTATTTGACGCATTTTTTTTTGTAGGCCCCGTACTCAATCCGAACCTTGGGTAGGCTTAACCGAGCCCCAGCGTGGATTGCGGATCAAGCAGGACACTTGAATACTTTGACGCATGTGAAGGAGGCAAAGGAAAAGAGTCGCCTTATTCAAGAGCAACTCCGGCAACTCCGTCAATTGTCACTGGCAGATATTGGCACGTCTATGCCCCAGGACACGGCCCAGGCGACATTGACTGATGGTTTTTCTGAGACTGAGGCCGAACCAACAGTGCAACAACATTGGGCTCCTCAATACCCAACACAGGCAGAGACATGAAGCAAATTAGCCCCGTGAAGCGCAGGATTGGCCGCACGAAGCCCGTACCTCAAGTGGCTCCTTACGAGAATATCCATGTTACGCGCAGAGAGCGGTTGCTGAAGAATGCTCAAAATCAAGCCCAGACAATTCCGACTCCTGATGAGATGCCGGCTGATGGTCCGGATTGGTATCAGGAATCGACAACTTTGGTGAAATCGCCTGGTAGAACTTTTTTTTGGACCCAGCGGACTTACATTTGGACATGGCTACCCCTCAAAATTTGTCATCATCGTCGAAGCGGTCCTTTGAGGCATTTCGCAGAGTGATGAAATCTCCACGCCAACAGCCTGCTCACGGTCAAGCGGCAGCGAATCTATTCAGGGACAAATTACAACAGCATCGTCCTCCGCAATCTCCCGAAGAAAGGAAGGAGAACTGCCAGGACAATGCAAATGTACCTATCGATACGCTTGCATACCGTAAGCATTTTCCTGTTCACCACGATCGCTACCTAGAAGCTCCGCAGGATGTGAAACGATGTAACATATCACCATCTACTGAGGCGTGCATTACTGAATCTACCGCGGCAGAAATGAAAACGCAGGTATTCCTTCTCACCCAACGTATGATGCAAGCAGAAACTGAGGGACGCACCGAGGACGCTCGTTTGCTGCAGGGCTTAATTCGCACAACCAACGAGACATTGAAGACTTGCTCAATAACAGTAGATAAACGGACACTCAAGGAAAGGTCACCTAATCCACAGGTCAGCTATTATTTGGACAGTCCGCAGAAGATACAGTTGCATGCGTTTATTTTGGATTTGCATAAGAATGTAAAATTTCACAAATTAGACCCGATTCATATGCAGATGGGCCTCCATAAGGCGCTACAGAAAGAAGGAGCACCCACGGCGCTATTAAATTTTATCGTGGACAACGAACAAAAATTGCAGTCCATGTCGTTTCAGGACGCCACTGCTTATATTGTACGTACAAACGAACAAGATCTGGAGGATAATGCATACAGAAATGTATTGGCTTGCATGAAGTTAAACCCTTCGGTTCCGCTAGAGACACAACTTCGGGATTTTGACCGCAAAGTAGACTTTATGAAGATGCGACAGTATGAGAATCCGCTACAAGTGTACCGCAACCATGGTATGCTCAACCTCATCAATCAAGCTGCGGGGGGTGCATATTACTGTGATACTCTTCGTATGCACACTAACTGGCGCGAATATTCCGCGACACAAATGCGTAATGTATTTCGGGTGAATATTGACAAGGCGGAAGAACACCGTCGAGCAAACCTTTCCCCCGGAGGGTTACGTTCACGCACACGAACGCGTGTGGAGGCCAACACACGAGCTAATCCGCATACACCGCCAGCATCGAACCCTAGGGCTCGTTGTCGGTCATGTGAGCAGAATCTCCCTCCTGGCCCAGCACACGCACCACGGCGCCCTAAGTTACTGCGAGCACCGACATCGACTAACACGGGCAGCCATACGCGACGTGGGTATGCGCCACCACACCGTACATCGGCTGGGGGATTATCCACGCGCACACAACAGACGCCGGGTAATACCTTCCGCCCTCGAGTTAATCTCGTGGATGGGGGTGATCAGATGACTGATCCGACACCAGCAGAGGTCGGAGAAAGTGAGGTGATCCATATTCATGATTTGGTCGACGAGTCGTATGTCGACAGTGAAGATAAATTGATTGCTATAAAAACCGCTTAAAATAGGTTCCGTTAGGAAAACCTTTAACGAAAGTTTTTACGCGCCACTTTGGTGTCAACCAACGAGAAACCGTTCATCAGAGCTATTAGAACCATTTTATATATACAGAGTAACTTTATTTTCATGTAATATTTACAGGGTATTATAACAACGTGGTGCCCAGGCTGGGCCACAATAGCCCTTCAAGACACTGACACTTGTGATGCAAAAAAAAAACACACTAGGGTTATTTGGGATTCTAAATTTGCTCCAACACGCCTGATTTTGAAAGCAAAATGTAGTGTGAAGCGGAATTGGTTTTTGTAGAAGTATAAGATCCTTGACCCTCATTTGCTGCCCTGATTCTGATTTAATCGTGGACGGCAATCCCAAGATTCCACAAATCCTTGACCAACCCAGAAGAGCCCTGAGTCCGGTATATTTGCTGTGGGCCGGGCGTGGCGGGCATTTTGATTAGTAGACAGCGACGTTGTCGGATGTTGCGACGTATTGTGTGTCCATGACACCTAAACAAGCAGATATCATTTGTGATGCATGTGGATATCGATGTGTATCAGTTGTTTAGATGTGCCTGTGTTCGTCATTATGTAGAAATACGGCCTCCGGTCAGTCTAAAATATCAAGATCAATTGAGATAATACATTGGTTTTTATTTGTATTTTAAATAATTTAATACAAGCTCTTTTTCCAATATTTCCAAAGTGTTCTAAATGCATTTTGATGGCTCCAATAGCCTGAGTATTTGGTATGACTCATCTACTTGGACCTATTTGAG